AGAAAAAAATTTAGGTATAAACTCTTAACTTCTGCATTCAATTTTGCAAGTAGATTGTAGTGCCAATCTGATGATTTAGATTTCCATCCCAGACATCAAACCCACATGACCAATGTCATCAAGTGTACAAAGTTGCCAAAAAAATTGGCCATTTTCAATGATTTTGGTCAGTATTGTATCCATTGCTAACAAGATTATATGAGGAAAAATAGAATCAGTTGGATACAAATTATGAGATACTCACGCTTGAAATGATGAAATTCAAATGCTTTGGTGGCACAATCTTGTCCACATATGAATTTGTACTGGTCAGGCTGGTTAGCCGAGCGAAACTTCTTGGTCGGAGGTGCATCACTATCATCGCTGCTCTCACTACTAGAGTCGCTTGAAATTCTATCCAAGTTGATATTATGATACTTATGACCCTGAAACGACCAAAAAGCATCATGAGTTGAGATGACTTTTGAAGATGATGAGACTCAGAGCGACCTACATTCAAGATGATCGTAAAGGTACTGTGCTTGGTACGATTATTACAAGCATCACAACCGACACGATGCTGATTCAGAAGGCTCTTGATGATACGGGGCCGACATTGTAGAGCCTGTCTGAAGACAGGGATCCAAGCGGCAGAACTGAAAGAGATGCCACACATAAGGTACAACCAACGAGACTCAAAGATAGTGAAGCATAAGAGGCATACTCGAGGAGGGATATCCTGGGTCCGATGACAGCTGTGCTTATTCGCGCATAGCTTTGCCGATATGCGGATGCACCTGTCATCCAAGCAGTTCGTGGTCTGGATTAGTGATATTGATAGAAGAGGGGGTTCCTAAGAACACTAACGTTTCCACCAATTTGTATGAGGTAAGAAGATGCGATTGAGCAGATACCTGCCTTTGATGTCATAGGACACAAGAAATACAAATTAATATCTCGACTGCAAGAAAAGTAACAAAGTAACGACTTACAGACAAGCTTGAAATTGCCTAAATCATCGAGGTTATTCATTTGGAACTGAGTTGGGATATTCGCAGCCAATTGTTTTTGGATGCGAACAGCTTTAGCTTTATCGGCCATATCGTTGACAATGAATTCTGCATCTCTTTTCGCAATCTCATCTTTATCGGTCAAACTATCATCGGTACTACTTTCCTCCTCGGATGTACTTTCACTTCCACTTGGCTCCAAAGCTGGTCTAGTTTGATCTTCGTCTTCCGAATCCGGCACAATCCTTCTTGATAGCACTTCCTTCGTCATCGCCCTCTTCTGACTATGTACATGACGGTTTTTACGAAATTTAGAGTATTTGGTATTTAATTCATTTTTTGATCGTAATTTAGTTTCAGGTTCAGAATAATCCGACAAAAATAGATCATCCACGTCATCCTCATTATCCGATGATTCTGATAATGTTCTACGTTTTGATTTAGTTGGCTTATGACGAGCCTTGGATATTATAGGTTCGTCGTCCGAGTCGTGAAGAGAAGCGCGTCGCTTTGGTTTGCCTCGATTAGCCTTCGATGATGGGCGGCGTTTGGAGCGTTTTTTGTGACTTAGCTCAGATGAAGGACCGGATGTGGGGTTTTCAATAGACTCGGGGGGTGAGGTTGGAGGATTGTGTGGAGCGTTATTCTGGCTAGATGGACATTCTTCGTTTACGGGAGTGAGAAACTCGTCCCAATAAGCTTTATCATGTAAAATTGAATCAGGTGGTTTAAAACAATTCAGGTCGGGTCGAGCTTTAACAATGAAACATAGATCGCAGTCTTTTTTGTCGTTTGAGTTCAAGGACATAATGCGAGAATACGAAATAGATGGGCTGATAGTATGGCGATGATTAAAACGATGGATTGGAAGTTAAATATCAGCTGTGATGGTGGTCAATTGGCTTTGGTTTTGATGGTGTCCAAAAGGCCTCGAAGTGGAAATCGGAGTTTTTTAAAACCCGAGGTCCGAGTCATCAGGACTTACACATGTGAAATCATATGTAATTCCCCCGTGACTCCGGTTGACTCTAGGATAGGGGGTTAGGGAGGGGGATCAAATGCCTGCCCAGCGCTGTTGCAAAACCACAAGAAGCTCGACTCTAAATGACTCCATACTTACACTGAATTCCAAAACAGAGTGATTGCACAAAGTTGTTTATGGAGGGTCACTGCTTCCTTTGGGTGGTCTAAATGCCTAAAGGTAATTACAAACAAAAGATTGAATAATAATTATTCAAAAAAAAAGAAAGATCTTTTTCAAGTTATCCAAAATCCTAAGAGCACCCACTATGGTGAACGTGTTTTATCGTAAAATTTGCGGTCCCAACCACAAAATTTAATCATGCGTGTAACAGCTAAATTAGTGAATGCATGAAATCCACTATGAGCTGCTTTACGATCTGATTTCCCAACAACAAATCACTCCGAGTCAACCAGATCCACAGTGGTATGATCTTGAAATGAATTATCTCATTCCTCATAATTTTTATCCAAAGATCAATCATCTCATCATCACAATGTGCAAAGAAAAGTTGATGACCTTTTGAAGTCTTCCAATAACAAGAGGAACAACAAGAATAAGACCAACCGGTCTTAACTTCTTGTTTGATAAACCTCACATACCACCTCCACTTCCTCACACTCACATCTGAATTGATCAAGACCTATCAAGACCGCACTCAACCTGCACGGAAACTATATGATGAATCTCTCGCACCTAACAGTAACACTAGATATGAAGTCAAGCTCAAAGAATTGAAGATATACAATTACATGACTGATTTTAACTCATGAAATCTTTAAATCAGGATATTTCAATCCAGATGAATTCTTACATATTATCAAAACAACAAACAATGTTGAATGATTGATTAAGAAAGGAATTGAGAAATTATTTAAATAAATCAACAATTCAATTAGTTTGAAGTTGACTTTTGAGGATGATTTTGAGGTTTGAACCTTGAAGTTGAGGTGTTGAGATTTGAACGATGAGATTTGAAGCCTTGAATTGTGGAGTTTGGGGTTTGCAGTTTTGGAAAAGGCAGTTGACAACCGATTATCCTACAATAAATCAAGTTGTAGGCTTGCGTAGATCTGAGCACGTGGGGTGCAAGATTTAAGGCGGCAGTACGGACCGCAGGTCTAAATCTGTGAGGGTTGGGTATTCAAAAGGATACTCAAGGCTCACTAATATGGCTAGGTGGGCTTTATAAGTTTAAATAATTATATGTATATTTCAAATATAATGTAATTACAATAAATTTATAAAGAGAAAGATAGAGAGGAAGAGGACTGGCCTGTTTGGGTAATTCCAGACAGGCTACAATTAAATGTCTCCTGAAGGGAGATTATAATTACTAAGGATAGTACTTATGAAAGCTGGATCCAGGGCTTTCCTTCAGTCTTCAAGGTAACAGATTGAAGAGTGATGTATAGGTCACAAATCTGGTTGTTTAATAAGTCACCAACTTGTAGTTGTTCAGGAGGTCACTAACCTGGAGTTGATGTAGTTCACTAACCTATAGTTGTTCTGAAGGTTACTAACCTGAAGTTGTTCAAGGTCACCAACCTGTAGTTGTTCAGAAGGTGACTAACCTGGAGTTTATTTGAAGGTCACTAACCTGAGGAATCTACTTGGAGGAAGTAGAGGATCCAAAGAAAGGGGATGAAGGATGAAATTACTTTATCTTCTAGTCAGGAACTTCCTTAAAGAAGTGAAGTGAATCACTCACCATGTCTGCCTGAATGTGTCAAGTCGACGTGAGCACACGGAGATCTTGACAAGAAATATCAAACAATTTTTTTTTTGATCCAACCACTCAGACTAGCCTTACTCCCCGATGTTGAGTGTTGCCTTTGTGTGTTAGTGAGGCACCTTGAGCAGTATCAACCGCCGTCACTTTGTGGTTGGGCACTGTATACGCCCGATCAAATGAGTTTGTTGACCTTTATTGTACGAGTTCAACGAACCCTTTTGAACAGGATCAAAACATAATGCAAGGGTTCTCCTAGACCCATTCAGTTTAGATCGGACATCGCTTTCAGCTGTAAACCCAGTTACATGGACCCTGACCGTTTGTCCAACTTCTAATTTTTGTCTTAGCCAGGACTAGACATGAGTCGTTTACCTTTGATGGGTGCTTTACAAACGTCTATCAGAAGAGCACAATTATGGTACAGTCCCGAACCTCTCTTGATCGATCCTGCCGGTCTCATCCCTTGAAAAGTGACTCTTGACGCTTTTCTTTTTCCGAAGCATGATTGAGATCCTTTGTAATTCGCTTTGAAGAAGTTGAAAGACAACATCGAGTATCTGAGCTATGGACAAAGAATTGTAGATGCGATCAAAGCGTACAGTTGTTACCCAAGCCGTACTTTATAAGTGCAATGAGGGAAGCAATCTCAATCCATTTTATCTTTGGAGTCGAATCATTTGTCAGCTTGAGCTCACCAATTGAATTATTGCAGTGATCCAATTTACTTTCTTAGAGTGATCAGAAATGGGTTTGTCACGTTCATGATCATCTATCAAATAGTCTCATCTTGTATTCCTGATCATTACAGTCAATTTTTTGAAATACTCAGCTCACGGAAAAAAGACACCGCGAAATTGGAAACAGGGTGCACCTGTCAGGTCCCTGAAGGAGAACAATGCATTAGTCGCCGCCAGTCTTCCAAAGGCAAACACTCCATCATGTCGCGCATTATCGGGTTTTATTCGAAATCTTTTGGACTACAATTGTATCAGCAAAGAATACCCAGCGCCGCCTACTCCAGAAGAATACGCGCAGTTAGATAATCCAACTCACGAAATCATCATGGAAGATCAGAGGCTATTCCATCCCGGACTTGATAGTTCAACCTCAACCGAAGATAAGTGGGCTGTTACCAAAGCCTTATTCTCTACCGACCTCCAAAAGTATGGCGCCTTGCGATTTACCTTTGACTGGACCCTCAACAAAGGTACTCATTGGAATCGGGTGATGACATCCTTATTGATCAAGCACTGGTTAAATGCAAAGAAGCAAGGTTTATTTTCTAAGTCAGGAATAAATCCATCTCACATGACGGAATCAAAAGCTGAAGGAATGGTCACACGATGGATCCGTGGACGAGCTTTTGACATCCAATCTGGGCGAAACCAACCTGAAAAGATTCGCAAGGTTGAGAAAAATAAGAAAAAAAGGGTGGTGAGCAAGTTGGTCTATCAGCATATGTATGTCAGTTTGCAACAATTGACCTTAATTTTGACAGTTATTTAAATATCGAAAGGAATCGAGCCTGCGACATCTTGGTCAACCTGCATTACAGTTGATCCCTGATGCAGATTGCTGCTCTGAGACAGAATGGGAGCCATCTGAAGTAGAGTACGAAAAGATTGGCTTGATTTGGCGGAGTCAGCAGTATGAGGCTTTCCTTCACGCCGTAGATTGGACCGTAACGGTACTCAAGACATCAGGTTTGGATCTTCAGGTTGGTGATCAGTTGCTGACCATCAACTCCCCAGCTTTCGTCACATCGATTTGATTCGCTTTTCAAATTCCACATAGCAGGTCGACACTTTGGCTCTCTTCAAGCGTGGCATCTCGACAAGCATTCACATCATTGATTGGAATTGGATGTTGGGAATAGTATTGGCACGTTGGGCTTTTATCAGACTTGAGAGTTTGCTCATAAAAACCGCTAAATTACGCATGACGGCCCCGGAGGGTCTGACTCGAACTGCAACAACCGAAAAGCCCGATGGGGCGGAAGCTACAACGATCATGTCCCTAGTGATAAAGGAATACAACCCCCAATAGAGAAAAGGGAGGGATGGTGGGTAAAAAATTTGTATCTAAATGACTTTGTATGGAGAGAAAAGGAGAAACGGATTTTGGAGAAAACCGTGATAACAAAGTGGATGAATCTAAAAGATACAAATCAGTGAGGAAAAGAGAAAGATCGAAATACAAACAGATCATAGGTTTTTGATAAGATGGTAAAGAGCTACGCGTGACAACTGCTGTGCTAAAAACCAATGAGTTAGTAAGATCCTTCTTGAGAATTTCGGAGACGCGTCTTTTTCACAAACTCGGATCGTCTTTCAAAGCCACTTCGCCGGCCACGATTCCCGTAAGTTAAAACGAGTTCCAACTACCAGGATCTACATACGAGGGTTTTCCAGGGTTTATCAAACGCTTTGTTCCTCTTATCAGGTCTTTCAGTGCTGACTCATCAGGTCATTCTTCAAGATTTACTTGATTCGTATCGGAAAAAAGAAAGCGGTTTGAAAGCGGCTGATCTCGCGAACTGTTTGGTCCACGCAAAAACCGGTCAAGTAACGAGCAACTTTGATTTCCAAACGGTCAATTCCTCGTTTGGTGTCAGGGTTATTTATTATATGAGATACTGATTGTCAAGTAGAACATCCGCAACGATTTCTTGGATCACAGTGATTTCTGCCTTTCATTTCCCCTTCTCGCCTACCCTCGTGACTTGTTCCTCTGGATCACAGTGATTTCTGCCTTTTATTTCGCCTTCTCGCCTATCCTCGTGGTTTGCTCCTCTCTTGGATCACATTTGTTTCTGCGTTTAAATTCCCGTTTTCGCCTATCCTCGTGGTCTGCTCAACTTGCTGTCCCGGTAGGTTTATTTCTTCTTGTCTGCAAATCCGGTCAACAATCATTAATGTTTCACTGATTTATTGCCTCATAGCCATTGACCGCTACATATCATTCTACGAGAATGCGTAACTCGCCGACGAGTTCACCTCAACGCTCTCAAAACGGGACTCGACGACCCCGCCGAACCAAGGCTCAAATAGCCGCGGACCTAGCGCTCTCCGGACATGTGGTTGGCTCAAGACCCACTCCCGCAGCTGTGAAACGTTCCCGTCTCGCAGCAAAGAAACGCGCCGAAAAAGAGGCCACGGCAACTAGCGGCAAACGTGCAACAAGTGACAGCCCGCCTTTCGACCTAGTCGACTACAAGACCATCCTTGCATATCTCGCAAAGCCTAATGTGCTCAATTCGCTTTTTGGTGGTGGCAGCCAAACCAAGGTTACTGGCCTGCCTATGAGCCCCAAGACCCTATTGAACACCCTAGCGATTAAACTCAACAATAATTACAATGAACGGTACAACTCCACCGACATGCACTTGACTGGCAGAACTCTCCTTCTTCGCCTCCGAAGATACAAAGGCAAATATCAATCCGCGAAATCCTTGAGTGCGAAGACTGGAGCGGGCCTTGAACCCAAGCACCACGCGCGTGGGCTTCATACCATGGAGGCATTGTTGGAGTCAATGTGCCCCTGATATCCTGAAATGGATGCACTCTTTCGTGACAAAGGCAACGTAAACCCCTTTGGCATTCTGGACACTGGACTCGGCTCTCAAGATGGCGATTACTCGGAAAACGATAGTGATGGAGATCTCACTGATGGCCATGACCACTCTAGGGGCCCTCTTGGTACTTTTTTCATTGTCATCTTGTCCAAAACAATGACCTGTGAACTGACATTTGCATTCACTTCTTGAAAACGCAGCCGGGCCCTTGCCGGACGTCCAGATATACAATGCCCAACGATTATCACCATCGCCTGATGCTCCTTCAATTGGAAAAGGTCATGGACCCACCAAGGAAAACACGGCTGGAACCCCTGAGGCCCTCACGAAACATTATCGCAGCTTCCTTGATAATGAGTTCAGTTCCCCTCCCCCTACCCCGAAAGGACGCGATGAGACCAGAGACGACCCAAGCCCAGTCCTTCAGCCTATCGATCCAAGCCCGGTCCTTCAGCCAGTCCTAAGTGAAAGTGCTGACCTTGGTAATATGGTTAAGTCCTCATCTCACGCAAAGCAGCCCGGAAAAGAAACCAAGAAACGATCAGCGAAGAAATATGCTCTCACCGCCGCAGAAAGAGCATTGGACTCGAGTTCAGATGACGAACCCAATGCCGTACCCCTTACTCAAACGCAATCGGCTGCTAAGTCAACATCTCACCCAAAGCATTCCGGCAAACAAACCAAGAAACGATCAGGACAGTATGCTCTCACCGCGGAAGAAAGAGCATTGGACTCGAGTTCAAATGACGAACCCGATGCCGTACCCCTTACTAAAACGCAATCGGCTGCTAGGAGTGCTAGCCAAAATGTCCGCGCCCCTCTTTCTCGCCGCGGCCTGGACCCATTGCCCTCCATCGACCCTTCGAATGTACATGTGAAGGACCACAAGCATGCACTGGCCTCAGCTATCCAACAGGCAAACGATGCGAAGATGGAGGTATTTGCAAAGGCCCAACACTCGCGCGAACAATTAGACCAAGCCAGACTTAAGTTGGATGAAGCTCGAATCCAAGCAGATTTAGAAGATCGTAAATCTACTCTCAGCTGGACTAAGGAACACTATTTCTTGAACCGTGAAGAGCAACGCGAAATTGATTCAAGGCGTTTGGCTGAAGAGACACGTAAGGAGCGGAAGGCTTTCTGTGAGCAAATGGTTTTGGAAGGTAAAACACCGCAAGAACTCGAAGCGTACCTCCGACTTATTTACCCTGCCGAGGAGAATGGGTGAGTACCTTACCTATTTTTCACCCGTGACTCACACTGACTTTGCTGTTTATCAACCCCATGTTTTTCCTGATCTAGTCATGCCATCTGACACGCTTCTCTTCCACCTGCCTAACCACCAACTTCCCCTGTTGTTCCTCACCTCACTCGCCCGCCTCGCCGTCCTTCATTTTTGTGTCCCTCGTGGTGTTACCCTTTCCTGTTACCCAACCTCGCCGTCATTCCTTTTTCATTCCTTGTTGTGTTTGTGTTTTTTTGTTTTACTTGGTTGTGAATCCTTGTGACTTGTTTTTACTTTGGTTATGAATGCTTGTTAGTAATCCAAAGCTATCTGTATATGTATTTGCGCAATGAAATCTCAGTTTGTGTTTTCATGAAACATCAGGAAAATTTGTTTCAGTGATGCGCATTAAAAAAACTTCACTCTGAAATTCCCTTTGTCTTCACTCTGAAATTCCCTTTGTTTCAGTTGCGCATCAAAAAAACTTCACTCTGAAATTCCCTTTGTTTCAGTGATACGTATTAAAAAAACTTTACTTGGCATGTGAAGGAAAAGTGAAGGTGTTTTTCTAACATTATCTTTGGATCGCATTTGACACAGGTCCAATACAATTCGAACAAATTCACAAGACCAATGATTTGAGCTAACACATACTAATCAAACACTAACAAAATACACAGATACACGAGAACAAACAGGAGAGAAGGACAGGTGCTAGCCAGTAATCTAGATCCTACCCACCACAACGACGACCAAAAAAATAAACAGATACATGTTAAAAAACCACGAGAGAAGGATAGTCGCTAGGATACAATGGGGAGGCCACCGCTCTGCCAGTTGTAGGCGACGGCGTGGTCTCGAACACATTCTCTCTTGGCCCGGCCCCTTTCAATGAAATCCAAGTCCTGCACTGCCGCTCCGCGTCGATGAACTCCCGCGTCACCGGGCTCCCTCAAAAGTCTATCGTAATCATCGTCATTCCAAGCATTTCCTAAATCCGCGAGCATATTATGTAAGATGAGGCAGCAGCGAATCCATCGTAAGATGTGATACATATCACTACGACTATTCAAAGCTAATCGTAACCCTTGGAGCGATGCCCATCTTGATTTGAGTATCCCAATGCAATGCTCGTTTCGAACGCGAGCTTTTGCTACACACCAATTAAAATCCTTGTTTCTTTCGATTTCGGCGGCTTGACCCTTGTAAGACGGAACGACAGTTTCCGAAGGTATGTACGCAGAATCCGCGACAATGTATTCATCTGCAAACATAAGAGATCTGGTCAGAATCCGAGGAATCAAGTACAATCAGAAAACAAGCGCCTACCTTTATCAAAATATCTTTCCGGATGCATTGCAATTTCAGTCTTTGAATAAACCGTGCTGTCACAGCACGAGCCGGGCCAACCTGCATACGCATACGTGATTCTTCTGTCGCAGTCACAAACAACCTGCACGTTAAGAGAATATTGATGCTTGCGGTCGAAAAACACCTCGCCATCGCGACCAGGACGCTGGAACAGTGGTATCGTTGTCCCGTCGACAAAGCCCACGCAACCCGGAAATCCATCTCTCTCAAGCACCTTTGAGATTGCTTTCCGTTGATTTCCATTGGGCCATGACAGATAATGAGCTCCAACATCTAAAATCGCCGAAATTACACGTCTTGTACAATTGATTACTGATCCTCTACCGATTTTGTAATTGCGTGCAAACCGTCCCACAGCAGCGCCGTTGCCGTTGCTGCCAAGACGCTCGAGCGTGATAGCAAGTTGTTTCTCAACCGGCGGCTGGGGATTGTTCCCAGTCGATACGAAGATGGGATGAGAGTGAATCATATTAAGTAAAGCTTGAAAGCCCTCCGGGGTCGTTCGCATAGCCTGCCGGAAGTCGGTTCTTCGGGTGCGCAGCATGTCTCGCAGATCGAAGGCCGTAGGCAGGGGGGTCCGTATACGCTCGTTAAGGTAACGTCTTGAGGTGACCTGGCTGAGCAGCTCACCCCACTGCTGTTCGGCGTCAAAGAGTTCGTCGTATAAGCTGGACAAATGTGGATCGCCACGAAAGAGGATTTCCCCCTCGCTAGGGTTCTCGGGGTCAGGTGTTGTACCGGGGATGCGTATCTCTGAGGTTGTGTGGGCGAAAAGGTACATATGGGTGAGGCCACGCAGCGCAGACGCTCTGTCGGAGACGCGAGGCATGCTTTGGAGAAAGGTATTGGAATTCAAAAGATTGATTGAGTTGAATTACTTGGGGATGAAGATCGTGGATATGAAAGATGGGGATGAGCTGTAGCCTGTTGGTTCTCATGTTCCCATCTATCACATTGAAAAAAATTTCAAAGGAAAAAAACAACAGTTGAGAAATCGTTGTACCAAAAAAAAGATGGGACAATGTGTTGTACGTGCTTTTAAAAGGCCGTAAAGCTCAAATTGGAGACCGTTCACGCGGCCGCGAAACAAAATTTTAAAGCTCGCGCACCCCTAAAAAACCAGATCGGGGCTCTAGGTCAGGACGTTCGCAAAAGTCATCTTGAACCGCCCTAGTGTGATTGTAATGTGAACAAATATAAATAGCTTAAAATCCAAAACATATTTTCAAACTGTTATTGTCTTCCATCGAATCTGTGGATGTGCTCACTCTTGATTTTGGGATGTGGTTGCTCTAAAATCTTGTTTTGTTGTATTTCATGTATTTGTATACAATTACAAAATTATAATCAAACTACAGTTTACAGGGGAAGGGTTTATTTGTAAGATACCAGGTAGTGGTTTGATACAATGAACTTGGGAAATGAACGATTCAAGGTTGTTGAGTACTCATTCAAACTACCTATATATCGAGTTGCTCAAGAGTTGATGCCATGTCAACGATTGCCTGAGAACGTTCAAAAAAAGTGTTTGATTAGCTTCAATGTCAAACTGGTGACGGTTTCAAAGTGACAAACCATGGTTCTTAGGCTAACAATAATGTTAGTGGCTTTGGAAATTCCAAAGGTTTCAGGAGCGGTCTCAAAAACCACACAGTGTCCGAAGAGATTGTCTTTTGTGATACATTTAGTTATAGATGAATCTCGGTAGAAGACATTTGCTTTGAGATGTGGTATTAATCAATACGGGTTACACAGTATATTGGTACCTTGTAGGGGGCAAAAGCAGTGAATGAGAAAGAAAACCTGACTCGTGTTGACCAGGCGAAAGATACTTTGAATGAGTCCAAACTCGTTCTGATGTAGCTGGACACAGCTGTTCCCCCGATGTATTGATGTTGGTGAGTAAACTTTGCTAGCATGTTTCCAGTAGTGCGTGGTTGGTAATGCTGGGAGTGTACCATCCGGTTGTAAAAGGCCCATTTTTGATAAAACATTCATAATCACATGGAGGATGTTGTTGGTGGGTGAGAAAGGACACCATTTAGATTCGGTTGAGATGGAAAGAGTTTCCAGCCCGAGCTGCAGTTGATCAGGTTTAGGCATGTTGGTCAAAAGATGTCGAAACATTGCTCGCTGCCCATGCCTTTGAATCAGGGTATGTCCTACATTTCCTATTTTTATGTAAAGAAGTGTAGACAGTTAATAACAACAAGTAAAATACAGAAGCCAACATAGAAACTCACCTGAACAAGCTGATTTGGGGGTTTGGACTAATGAGCCAATAATACGTTCACCTGCCCAAGCTGCGTGGTATTGAGGGGGTCCAAGACGTCGACATTGGTCTGGAAGGTGTTGAGAATAGTGCATATTTGGTGTAGATCGAACACCAGGCCAAGAGGCTTGGACATGCTCTCGAAATTGTCGGAGAAGTACACCAAGGGTTTTGATATCGTGCTCGTGCATGACCCGAGAGAAGGCTATATTGGTAATCTGAATTATCAAAACAATGGTTTGTTGGAGCTTGAAAGAATCCGAGTCGGGTTCTGCGTTATGGTGATATGGAACAAGCGATAAGACCATGAATACAGTGTAAAAAACCAGCCATTTGGCAGCTTTAGGGGTACCACAGCTCGCCATTCCAAATTTAGGTGGAACATGAGTAAGCCAAGACGGAACGGGGGTGGTTCGGATGGTGTGGTGTACCAGGTCAAGCTCGTGAGGAGTAATCTTGGGACCTGGAGCGGCAGTGACTGTGCTTGCTGTTGTGTTGGACGATTCTGATGTAATTTCAAGGGGGTCGGTATTTTCGCTATTGGATGGAATTATATTCCAAGCCCGAGTATTAACTGCCCGAGGATACCGAGTTCGGCTTCCAGATGTGTCACTGGTATCAGTCTGGCTATCGGTAGAAGGAAAGGAAAATTCAAATGGATTTGTTGTAACATTGGGAGCAGGGTAGCAAGTCGAAAGAATTGGGGCAGGATCGTGATGGCCTGAGTATGTCAGGATATTATGTTGCTTTTCAAGTTCTTTTGCTGCAAAAGGTATACAGAAAAAATTTGTCGAGATATCTTTGAGAATTCCCAAAGCTAGGCAGTGCATCACATCAATTGTGGTGAACTTGATGGGTTGCCAATAGGGTAGCTGTGAGAAGGGTGTTGCACGGACCCCATTTTTTTTGACTAGTTTTTGTTGAGCGGAAGCTGAAGGAGCCTTTTGCCATGATCTTGAGTGGTAATTGAAGGCTGATTTGTTGCGCTTTTTATACGTGTTGATGTCTACTTGATCAATTTCGCCCTGTGGAAGATAGCAATTGCGACAAAAATTTGTCGAGTTGTGGGATGAAAAACCTGAGATTTTGTTCATGGCCGGAGTATCCGCTATGAGAGGCCACAGAGCCATACATATTAATCGCCCTTGTGCGTGCAGTGAAGTTGGAGTGAAACGCACACCGGTCCAAAGCTTGTTAAGCTCGTCAACGAGTGGTTGGAAATGGTGGTGAGAATTGTTGTAATCTGGTTCTTTTGGACCAGGGATGATGCCATACAAAAAAGTATACTTGGATTTGTAGCGTAGGTCTGGTGGTAAGCTCAGGCAGATCAGGAGGACCACTCCTGCAGGATGACTCCGAGCTGATCCCTTCCCAAAGGGGTTGAACCAGTCACAATACAAACCAAATACTACATTGCCAGCTTTGCGAGTGAAGATGTCTGAATGAATGTCGCGAAATGTCTTCCATAAATCACCGTCCCAAATGTCCGAGTAGACGCCTTCTCCAGGTGAAGGCCTTGAAAGATGCGCTTCCAGAACTTTTTCAAAAACCGGAAATTTGAGCATTCTCGCCATCCATTCAATTAGTCTCTGATAATGAAAGATTTGATGAGGCTTATTTTTTGGATTTAAGACTGTACGGGAAGGATCCTTGAAGAGAGGTGCTCCACAGATGATTCGACGTTCTGCAGAAGTTTTTGATGGAACTCGCAGGTTGTTGCAGGTTTTGACCTCCCCAATTGTACTTGTTTTATTTTGATTGACTGGACCGTGAAGTGCAAAACAAACTACACATGACACCTCTCGAATCACTTTGACATCTAGCTTCATCATTTTGATCACTTTCTCAATAGATTGTGGAATCTCCTTCAAAAGACCACTCAATTTCTCAGAAGACATCAATTGTAACATCCGCTTGCGTTCAAACTTGAGCGTTTTCCGGCAGCTCCAATGGCTCTTTCGATCGTCCAGAAAATCGGACACAATTTGGAATAGAACTTGAACACATCGCATATCCAGCAGGAATTTGAAAGGGATATTGAATCCAGAGGTATCTATTGTTGCAACCACTTCATCAGCATCATTTCGACTAGTTGTACGCGGCGCCTTTGTTGGCCTTTGAGTTCGTGATGAGCTGGCTAGAAATTCGGAACGCGCATCAGGGGGAGATGGAGAGCGTATGCGTTTTCGAGAGGGTTCATCGGTTTCCATCGCAGCCACTGGTGTAAGTCTTTGTTGGCTTTGAAAGGACGGGGAAACTTCTTCTTTTTGATAGTTTTCAATTTTCTTCAAATGGTTTGGGTAGTTGGTGCGGTGAAAAAGAACTCCGATATGGACTTCACCATCATATTCAAAAGCCTCGTCATTGCAATGGAGTTCGACACATTGACAGAGCATGTGATTCTGATCGAAATAGGCCATTGGTTTAACCAAAGGGAAAACATGATTAAGACTGATATTGCTATTCAAGTGTGACAAACAAATTGGTATCATGAAAGATGGTATAAGTTCCATGTCAATCTCTGTTTCGCATCAGCAAAAAAAAGATAGACATACCCAATCTCTTTTCCAAGGTACAACCAGCAATCCAAAAGACGGCCAATGCCACGTTTTTAATCCGACCAAGGTGAATAAACTTGCGGTGGTTTCGGAAAATCGAATGTGTGTTAAGCAGGTAAGTTGTTGTGCTGGAATCAAGAGGGCCAATTGAGCCCTACAGCCCACTCAATAGTATACATGTATAGAACCCTACCCCGATGTTTGGTTCATTTTTTCACTGACATCTTTTAAGTCACTGTCTTACTACCTGAAGCATTTCAGGCTTACAACTTATCAGGCCAACTCAGCCCCTCACAATGAATACTTTTTGAGGCAAACTTGAAATTGAAATTCACACAAATAAAAATTGATCAGGACATGAGTTGAATCAGTCTTACTATATACACACTATATTTGGAGTTTCTACATAGCCAATTCAAAAGGAGGTTTTCAAGAAGATAAATCAAGGACAAAGTATCATATTGTTGAGAGAACACATCATTTTGACCATCAATATTGTACAAGTATTTCTCAGTAATACGGCCATTAGAAAACTGGCCATCAGAAATACCGCAGTTCAATAAATGAGAACTTAGAATAGAGTAAAATAAGAAATTGAAATACAGTAAACCACACTTCAAATATCAAGAGATCCATAATCACGACCTTGCAGCCCTGGATGCCATTCATACTCCACTTCCTGACGCTACTGGTTGAGTTGATTGTATATTAGACCCTTCAGTTTGTAATAAGTTTACCATATCTTCTAAAGCCTTGGAGATGTTCACTTTGTTGTGATTTTTCAATCCCAAGCTGATCACGGTGAGTTTTGTGCAGCCACTTAACCAGGTTGGTGAGACTAGTGACCTTTGAAACCCCTTTGGTGGACGGGACTCTTGATCGGGTGTTGAAGAATAAGTCCCACGTTTGGTGATGAGTTTAGCTCTTCGGATCAGCCTCGGTTTCACCTCACGGTCGCGAATACTGGCATCACAGAATTGTAGGAAGGTGTCCAGTTCGGCACTTCACCACTCTTTTCGAACTTTGTAGCGTGTGGCGCTTCGCGCACTACTCGTGACCTCGTCTTTGGAATGCACTTCCTTATACGAGACCATCTTCGCTTCAGGCGAATCTTCACCAAACAGTTCATTGACTAGATCCATGCGCGCAGTATGAATCTGTAACACAAGACCAAACAAGTCAGAATTCATGGAATAGATGTGATGAAATAAATCAACGTACCTTTGTAAGAGCTCGCCTTCTGCTCTCTTTACTCTTTTCAATTGCTTTGTCCTCCTCAAGTTGCTTTCGACCATCCGGAGTTTTTATGAGTTCTTCTCAAACATTTTGGCGCCGGTAATTAGTGAGTTGGTTTGTAAACCAGCGTCGAACAATTTCATCTCGATTTTCAGCGGTGTTATCGGAGGTTGAGATCCCAAAACCTTTCACCCCATTTCCCTCATCACATTTGACCCATTGTGCAATCAAGATCGAGGACATCGAGGAGTTCCAAGGTGTCTCGTAACCGGCTTCCCAATCCAGCGTACATCGAGGAAATCCTGCCAAAGCCAGCGCGCCTTCACACTTTGTCCCCCATAGATGAGTGTATTTTGATCGACCAGTGAACGACAATGAAGAAACAAATGAGACAGGTTTTAAGGGGTTTGTTAACATGGCCTCGTCAGCAGCATCCTTTTCAATTGCAAGGATCTGAGTGGCTTTTGGCTTGAACTTTGGATCCTTCTTGGTCTTCCGAGCAATGTATTTCTCTTTTGCCTTATCAATTGCCTTCGTGATGAGAGCTTCCCAATTCTTCTTTCTGTCCATCCATCCTTTACGTTCTTCATCGGTAGGTGATTTCGGCATATCAGAATCTTGAGTTGACTTTGATTTCCTTGAGATACCCATCATGAATCTCAACCACTCTTGCAAAGCTCGCGATAGACCGGTACCGGCCGAAGGTGTTTCATGTCCTGCAGCCAATTCTCCTACCAACGCGGCTCGCTTCTCTTCTTGCTTTCTTTTTGTTCGGGCAGCTTTTTTCTTCTTCTTTCGGGCAACCGTCTCCTCGAATGTGAGCCCTTCGTCTGATTGAATACATAGAACCAATTTAGCCAAAAGGAAGAGAGATGATAGCATGCTGACAATCATTCTGGTTTGTAACTTACCTGATTCACTGTTCTCTTTGTCAGAACTATCTATCACCACCGGTTCGTCTTCCTCATCATCAATACGTCTCTTTTTCCCAGTTCCTGAATCACCTCCGGCAGTTGGATTGTCATCACCGGCCATGTATGGAAGCTAGGTCGGTACCAGGATCTATTGGCTTTTCTGCCAGTGAGTTTGTGCCGGTACACTTTTTTGAAAGTCGTATTGTTTGAGCAGTTGGTCTAGGAGCTGAGAGAGGGGTAAGATAATGTTCAAGAAATAAGTGTTGAGGAATCAAGGCCTCAAGTTTGAAGAGTAAGGTATGTTGAGAGTGACAAATTAAAAAAAGAAACAAGAAAAAATCACGTCTTGCTCAAGCTGTTCAGCTTGCAAGACTGGACACAAGTCAGACACACAAGAATATTCTAACAGCCGCGCTTTCCTATTCTTACCAACTGAACCTCTGTAAGATCTACATAGGCACAAAGACAAAGGCCAAACCTTCAACCGATTCTTTGCAGTCAACCCGCATACAAGTTTGGGGGTGCTGGGTGACTCTACAGTACTGCTACTAACAAAGGGCTCGTGGACAAGAGGCAAAAGATAACTCCCACAAAAAACTTTTTAGGTATAATAAAAGTGATTTCGTGTGCTCACGTTGACCTGACACATCCAGGCAGACATGGTGACTAGTCTTATTTATTATAAGGGTCTTGATTGTGTACTTCAATTGAACTTTAAAGGGTTCTTTAAAAGAGGTGTGTAATAAAAATGCTTGGGGGATTATCTGAAGGCTGAGAGAGGAGGGGTTTATATACTCTCCTCTCTAAACCTAACTGTAGTGATATTTGTTATTATCACTACATTGGTTCAGGGCTAATCATTACTATATGTTAATGATTATTATTAACAGTGTTTGATTACATATACATGTTATATGTAATATGTAATATAAGCATTTTAACTCTTGACACTGAGTTATGAGGTGTAAATGGTGTTTTATTACATATTACATGTTGTTTTAAGTGTACATGTATATGTAATAAGTGTTTTGGTACATTGTATTACATGCTACATACCGTCTAAGCTCAGTATGTACATGTAATTAATTTTATACATAATGTTTTTGATGTTACAAGTTAGTTTTGGGTACATGTATGTGTACTCAGGGCTGACAAAATCAAGTCCATAGTGGACCTGTGGGTAATTAAGTGTTACGGTAACGCTAAATCACCAAGTTAGTGCAACCATAGTGGGTGCTCTAAGAGCATCCACTATGGGAGTCGTAACCAAGTGATTTAATGTTACAATAACGCTAAAATATAGACAGGTCCAGTATGGACCCAATACCGGAACCGCTCCGAAATATATGGCGGTTTCGGAGCGGTTTCGAAGCAATAAAAACCTCCGCTACATCCTTTGGATTACATAGCGGAGGATCCGCAGCGACACCCAGGGCCAGAGTTTCCCATATCGCAGCCACCACTGCAAAACCTGGGCCCGGGGTTGTTGCTCCGATATATATCGGAGCAAAACATACAGGTAGGCTGGGGTTGAAAGCCCTTTCACCCATCTGTATGTAGTTGATTTCCCCTCTGCCACTTGACTCGAGTCTCCACCTCTCGACATTCCCACTCAATCAAGAAACACCATACCAACTGTACAATCACCTTACCATTCCGTATCAATCGATGGACGCCAATGCATGGCTCTACCTTCCTTATGGGAGCTGGTTGGTGGCCAACTTGTGGTTCACCACCGTTCAAAGCTTTTGAAGATTTAAAAGGTATGTGTCTTTCGAAACTTTGAAAGCTCTCTTTTTTCAGTTTTCCTTTTCTATCAAACATCTGGCTCCATTCACTGATCAATCATGGTCTCTGATTCTCAATCTCAAAGTTCGACTCGAAACCATCTCTCTGTTCCAGGTAAAAGCACCCGAACTCTTCGCCCACCTAGCCCCTCTCGTACACAGCCAGGCTTTGTGATCCCACCCAAAGACTCGTGTGCTTCTCTCACCTTGTCTGTCTCGTCAGCTACCAAAGACGCTACTGAGGATGAATCAACTGCAGCTGGACCACTTGCTGGTCGGCGTGCTTCACCACGCCCTCCGGCCGTCATCAAAAAGAAAACTTGGGCCAACGGACCAGAAAAAGCAAAAGTGAAACCGAACGCACAAGGAAAGGTCAGATCATTCATTTCCTTGATTCTACAATCATGAAACCAAGACTGACTTAACTTACCTTATTTGTAGCCTCGCTCATCAACTAGCAAACGTGCTAGATCACCATCACCAAGCACTTCTGACGGCACAGCTCGACCAGTCAAGAAGTCTAATCTGGAGGTAAGACTTGGTTTAGTAACTTAGTTCATAAGTTTAATACTAATGATTCAATTGATCGAGCCCTATGAGGTCCCCGACGAAGTGGACCTGTCACAAGGATCAGACATCAAGATTGTCGAGCCTAACAAGGAAGTCGGATATAACGAGGTTCGAAGTCTCGCTGTGAAGAAGATGCTTCTTTATTTTTTCCCTCCTAAGGTAAGATTGTGATCTGATCCTATAGTTTAGTTATATCGATCCTCGTGCCTGACACTTCTTTCTTACCTAGGGTCGGTCATACAAATGCCGATGGTGTTTGAATACATACCTTAAGCAACCAACCACGTACTTTGCACTATGGGGCCATCGTGATGGCAACGAATTTCGACCTTCCTGCAAGGAGCGACACCGAGCTATCCCCGCTGGTCTCGATCTACCACCCACCTACACTGAGAAACTCGAGGCTGAGAAAAAGGAACAAACCAACACTTTGGATTCTTTTGTAAGCGGACCAAAGTTCAGCGTTGATTTACTAAACATGATACTTGTCATGTGGATCGTTCGACAAGCCCTCCCTTGGGCTCGGTTTGAAGATGTTACCTTGCGTGCGGCTTTTCACTCGGTTAATCGAAGTGCCACAGTCCGATCTAAGACATGGGCTTCCCAGCAATCAGTCAATCTGTTTTCTGAATTGCATAAGAAAGCCATTACTGGATTGCAAGTAAGTAACATTCTACCTCTCCCTAGTCCAATTTCAAAATATTTGTCTGATCATGTTTTCTTTGTCTCATTACAGGAAAACAAGGGTCGATTTTGTTTGATTCACGACGTTTGGACGACAAAAGGAAATCGATATGCATTTGTCGGAGCCTCAGCCAATTACGTCGACGATAACTGGCAATACAAATCTACACATCTTACTCTCAAGATGGTAAGTTGGCGCCACTTCGGGGTTCTTCTCGCTCAACCCATTGGTAAATTCTTGATCAAACACAACCTTCACAAAAAGATAAGTGGCACTTCTCGTTCATCTTTTTTCTAATTCATTTTTATCTTTTTCATCTCGAAACTTATTTTCACATTTCATCTCGATACCTCTTTCCACATTTTATTCTAATTATACCATACTTACATGGTAGCCCAGACCACTGATAGTGGAGGCAATAATCGAACAATGGCAGCCACACTCGACTCAATGTTTTCAGACGCTGAAGATCCGGCAGATTGGGATAGCTCGAGTCATCATGTCCAATGCTACGCTCATAAACTCAATCTTGTTGTCGGTCATGGTCTCAAGGCCATTGGTCAAACAGTTGGTCGTACAAAACCATCTATCCCCCACGGTGCCACTCTCCCTGTTCCTGGAATTGAGGTTAATGACGGTGAGGATCCGATTGAGTACGGTGAGGAATCGGACAAAGGGGATGAAGCCAATCTTCCAGATGAGGCCCATGGTCTCAATGACGAAGATGAAGTTGAGGATCTAGTAGGTGAAGTATTTGGAGGGATTGCTTGTGACAAGGAAGATATAGTCGCACAAGCCCTCAAAATGGTCAGTTTCTTCCTTTCAATACTTTTTCTCTCTATCTCAATGATCCCACCAGGAATATTGATACAAATCATTCCTCCGCGCCGCCCGTATGGGATACAAAGGACGTATGCTCAAGAGGCCTTGTAAAAGACGATGGAACAGTCATTACGACAGTCGCAAGGTGGCTTGCGAGGCACAAGAGGTACGTAGGCATCTGGTAACCCTTATTATCAATACCAGTCATTACGACAGTCGCAAGGTGGCTTGCGAGGCACAAGAGGTACGTAGGCATCTGGTAACCCTTATTATCAATACCAATTACTGATAATTCGTCTTACAGATCATCAACTCGATGATTGCGGCCGATCGCAGGGCACGCTTCTTCAAAGGAGTCACAATCTCACCAGACAAATGGGAAGCTGTTGAGTTGGTTAATAAGGTGTTAAAGGTGAGACAATGTTTTTTTAAATTGGTATTCTTACTTATCAACTAATATACTGCATCTTTTAGACCTTTGTCGATGCAACAGCCAGAGTCGAGGGTGACACCCCGACTGGTTGTGTTCTCCTCGCTGAATACAACAGAGTTATCACCGAGCTTAAAGCCCATCAAGAAGAATGTTACTCCCTTCCTAGTCTAGACAATGCGATCTCTGTCATGATCAAGTGGCTTGACGAGTATCGAGATGAAGCCGCCGATTCTGAAGCAATTGTCCTTGCCACGGTCCTCAACCCGCGCTTTTGAACAAAGTTCTTTACCATTTATTATCCCGAACATGATGCTGAAGCTAACCGATTGATTAAGAATGCTTTTGATAAACTTGTGCAAGAAACTGCTGTCCGCAAGCCAACCCCAACCGCCGAAAACGACAACGATACTGAGGAGCCTGATGAATATGATATATTTGGACAATCCGATGTCAACACAAACAAGACCTCTACAGAGCTTGAAGATTATTTGAAGGGTCATGATAAAATTAGAAAAGATCAAACCCCCCTTGAATGGTGGAAGGTTTGTCTTTCTTCTGTCTACTCTTTCTATCATTCCCGCTGACTTAATCTTTGATTTACTTACAGGACCACGAACACCGTTACCCTACTCTTGCCAACCTTGCTCGCGACTATCTAGCAATATCAGCTACGTCTTGCGCATGTGAGCGCACGTTTTCGGCCGCTGCCGACGTCTGTTCACCTTCTCGAGGCAGCATGTTGCCTAAGACCATGGAGCGTTTAGTTGGTTTGCAAGCTTGGCTAAAGGAGGGGATAATCCCTGAGGGAGTTTTTGCAGAAGCTG